ACTCTAAGGGAATCTTTCCTATTGACACCAGCCCATGATCTGAAATCCATCCTGATATTTTCCATTCAGAGTGATTATAATCCTTAAGAATCCTGATTCTCATTCCTTTCTTTCTCCTCCTTCTATCTGTGATCTAGTTTGTGCTGAAACTATGGAAGACATCCTTAGGCCTTACATTTGTGTCACATCCATATTTTCACTTGTGATCTTTTCCGTGAAGAAGTTTCTTGATTTGGAACATTTTTGAAGAAAAAAAAATCTGCATAGTAAATAATTATGAAATAGTCTAGAAAGATGGGGTTTGGCTACAAAGAGAAGGAGCATTTCCTTCCAGGCGACAGCTACAGGAACAGCGCTGGTGAATTTTTGTGAATGTGATTAGTTGACATGTTTTTCAGCAACTAGGTGTAGCCAAAGCCAGCCAAAGATCTGACCAGAAGAAAGAGCCATCACTGTCGTTATAAAGACCACTGAAAGGTGTTTATTAAAGTAATTCAAAGATGCTTTGATAATTTGATTGAATTTTCTAGTAGAGAGCATTCAGGTTATCAGAGTGTGCCTCAAAAAGTTCTTGTTCTAACCATAATTCTAACCACTTTTCAGGCTTTACAGTACACTTCATACTTTAACTTTTTTCCCAGTTTAGTTCCTCCTACATATTCTTCAAATGCTTTGTCCATTTTCTCATTCTGATCTTCACTGAAAAGATTCTTCCAGTCACTTACACCACCTGCAGAGAAGAAAAGAAACTCGAAAATCGAGAAAAATGCTTCTATAACTCTGTCATTCCATTGTGTCCTAAATACTGCTGATCTATTTTTCCAGATAAACTTGACTCATTTCTGCACCAAGATAATTTTGGGAAGTCAGTGGAGCTACATATCTGTGAAACTGCTACAATGTAAAAGAACATACTCCTCCTCAGGTGACTGTGTTCAAAAGGACAGCCTGAAGTCCTGGTTCCCTCCAGCTCTCCACTCCAGTCAGTTATGACTGATAAAGGGAAAGATCATGAAGAACTGATTAAGAATTATCTTGCAGGAGGCAGAGCTGCATTTCTGCTCCTTTGGCAGTAAGAGTTTTTATCTACTGACTTCTTGAACGTAAAGTGCATCAATAGATTGACAGCCAGGGTAGCCTTTCCATTTCTCTGTCCCCTACACTAGGCTGCAAAAATAGCTCCCTTTTGTTGCCTCTCCCCTGTGTACCTGATTCTTACATGCCTGACTTACTCCTAACCTGTAAGACTGAACAGGGGTTTGGCAGTGGCTCTCCTAAAAAGTGTGATCGTGCCACTCAGGTCGAGTTTGGCCCAGTGCTGCCTGCTCAGATAAGCCTCGGATGGCTAAACAATCGGTGATCTAGGCACAGAGGAGGAGTTCAGACACAGGACACTTCCTCCTTCCTGACAGACATCTGTGGGCCTATAAAATTTGCTCTGGTGTCAGCACCTTGCTGGGTATCTTCCTCACCAGTGTTCCTTGAATAGCTTTCTTAAGTGAAATAGTGATCACCTGCTTGAGACTAACTTGCAATCATAATATGTGCGCAAAAGAAGAAGTAAGGCACGGCCCAAGTTCTTGAGAAGGTGACATTCCTACCTCTGAACCACTTGCAGTTTCCTACCTTTGCGAAAGAGAATGTCGCCAAATGCCCCATGGGTCTTCTGAGAGTTCTTCTTCATTGCCTGAAAGCTGCTCCTCTCTACCACAAGCTGAAGCTCTTCCTCAGTCAGTGAAATCCCTAAGAAAGCAGCTATCTTTTTCACACCCAGGAGACGATTCTGGAAAGAAGAATGTAACACACCATGTGACATTCAACCAAATTACACTGCTTTCCAAGGTGGTTACAATTCCCAACATCTCTCTGCTCGATACATGTATGGGATATTCGCAGAGCTCAAGGGGACTAGAGGAAGACATAGTGTTCCTCTTCTCCATAATAATTATTTTGGAAGAGATACGAGCTGTTTCCCTATAGATTACAAAAGACTGTGCATGATTTACAGTTGAACAAAAGTTACACTTTTCAACATAAAAAAGCTCCTCCCAAAAAATTTTTGGGGATTTTGATTTACAATTATTTGGACTAGCTGAGTTGGGCAGGGCATGTCTCCAGGATGCAGGATTGTCGCCTCCCTAAGATCGTGCTTTATGGGGAACTTGCCACTGGCTGCTGCAAGAGAGGAGGCCCGAAGAGGAGATACAAGGACTGCCTGAACATCCCTGAGCCTTGGCCATATTGGTCACCACCACTGGTCTTCCCTGGCCTCCAATGGGGAGGCCTGGATACAAATCATCTATAACGCTGCTGCTGCTTTTGAGAACACTCGCAGGATCACTCTCAAGGAGAAAAGACAATGCAGAAAGAATCGCGTCTTGTCAATATCACCTGGGGAGTCTTTCTGCTGTACCTTCTGCAACCGGACTTGTCTATCTCACATTGGCCTTTTTAGCCATCAGCGCGCTTGTAGCAAGTGTGGGTAGAGCCCTTCTCAAATCTTTGTTTGTGAAGCCTAGCCATGATGATGATGATGATTTGGACTAATATCACAGCTAAATAAAAAACAATATTAATTTGCTCAAGCAAAATTTTAGAAGGTTTTTGAGTTTGCATTTCACCTCTTCTTTACTTAAAGCAAGAATCTATCCTATGCAGTTTGAATATCCTACATGAATATAATGATGAATTGGTTTCAGAAAAAATGCTTCTTCAAGTATAAAATATTTGTAATTATTGATAACCTCACCTCTTTTAGCTCTTCATAAGTTATTGTCATAACATTTTCTTCATCAGCATATTTGTTCCATTGGGAAAGGTATTCAAAGTAGCATCCCCAGGCCACTAAATAAAACAAAACAGTCCTAAGATGTGTCATAAATGAACATTAGACAAGCTCCTTAAACAGTAAACTAAATTTTACTCATTCTCTAGATCTCTCAGTCATAGGCGCTAGTAATAATGTCTGTGGCAGATTTTACACCCTTCTGGGGAAATTTTAGGATTTGCTCCAGGCTGTTCTGGCATAGCTACAAGTCTCAGGGATATGATACAATTTGGAAGTTGGAACAGTAAAACTTGTTAGTATCTCAAGGCACATGGGAGTCCACCCAAAAGCTATCAGTACGCAAGCCATCTTGCAGACTCCCTCAATCCACTTTAAAACCTTCTGTAACCTCCCTTCAGCTGGCTGTGTGCTATGCTAAACTGATGCCTTTTTAAACCAGTGTAATTTTTTTTCTCTCCTTTTTAATGCATTAGACTTAGTTTAAATAATTTCTTCCATTCAATTTGGCATATAGGTCTTTATATGTCTGCATGGACACAAGATAATGGACATTGGAGAGGAGGAGTGAAGGGCATCCAAGACAGAGATAAGGAAGAACCACTTCTTCTAGAAAAAATATCAGTTTGTACAAGATAATGTAGTTTGTGAAACTGCAGTTTTGTCAGGGACTCATCCTCAAGCAGTAAGACAAGTATGGTAAACTTTAGTGCGAACGCCTAACTTTTGGTCTTTAATCTCTGCTTTTGTACTGTAAACCAAAAAAATCCTAATGATGCTGATTTACTGAAGTGCAAGCTTTTTGAAACAAAGTACTGAATAACTGACAGAAACAGAATAATATACTGTACCTCTCTTTGACATGAAATCTGTGAAGAAATCATCCCAGGTCTCATAGGAGGGAACAATAGCCATGCCATTGGAAAAATGGTAATAAGATGTTGCTACATCCTTTGGGTTACGAATCAGTAACAATATCTAGAAAAAAAAAATATTTGTACAGAAAGATGTAACAGACTAAAGCATGAAAACAATACAATAATATACTTTATAACTACAATTGGGAAATT